CCATTCCCAAATACTCCATTTGGTGAGTATTGTGCTGTCCTTTAGAAAGCTGGAATTCTGCTTGCATTTCTCTGTTGGTGATAAGAGCTGATATGAACATATATAAATGTTTAGAATGAGTCAGGGGTTGTGTAAGATGCTGAACAGCAGCTGAATGGCAGCAATTTAAAAGTTTAAAAATAAGTTGAGGTAGGCCTGCACAGCTACAGGTGCATCAAGTAGATTAAAAACCATTTCTCCCCTGCAGCATTGGTTAAAAATGTCTTTTCTCTTATTTTAATCCCTTCTTGCTCATTAAAACCAGAAATACAGAGCATTTCCAAGCCAGTGTCACACAAAGAACAACGACAGCATTGTCACATCAGCATCCCCACACTTTTTAGCCTTCCTCATTTAATTTTCTGAGCACCATGACCACCTTACCATCACATGAAACCGTGTAAATATTGAGCCCTGTGACTTTGCTTCCAGCCTTGAGAGGCTCAGCTCCAATCCAGCAGGTGTGCTGAGGGTCAGAGCCATCACACCTGGCCCACAGGGGAGGAAGCACAGCCAGCTCACTCACGCCCAGGGAGCTCACGTTTGGGTTTTGCACCATCGTGTACAAGGAAATCAACTGCCTAAAAACAGGGACAGGGAGAAAGTAAGATGCCAGCAAATAACACAATATATTAGTATAAACTGAAGGTTCTAAAATTATAGTCAAATATTACATTTTTAGCTAATTAAAAAAAATACATGAGTTAGGTAAACCATATTTTGGTACCGTGCATTGGTATCTTAATAACACCAAAGATGCAGATCAGATTTTTAGGGCTTTTTTTTTAACAGGAGCTTTACCAAAAAAATAAGCACAGAAGTTTTAGTGAGCTTTCTTTGCTCATCTACACCCAGTGAATCCCATTAGCCCAACAGCCCAGCTCACAAGTGCTTTTCCAATACCTGAATTTTAGCTACTTTTTAAAACCCTTTTAGCCATTAAAAGTAAGGAGGCCCTTTTGCAGGATGGAAAACAATCACAACTCCTCATCAACTAATGAGAAATTTTATTTAGAGGATTGGTAATATGGATTTTGAATATTAGAAAAAGCCACAGAATTACAAAAGATAACTCCCTCAAAAGGGGAGGGAAAGCTTTCACACTTACTTTGCTCTTCCAACAGACAGAGCCAGGGCTACAGGAGTCTCCTTTGGCAAAACCTCAGAGGCATAAACAGCATCATCTGTTCTTGATTCCTCCATGGAGTCACTTTCTTCATTGTGTGTCTTTAAGAGAAATGTGTATGTAACGTGTGTGAAAAACATCTGACAGGAATTCAAAAGTCTGGATTGCATTTAACATCTACCAAGCACACTTACAGCTCTCTGCAAAATATACATTGCACTGCTTCCGTGCCAAAATTTTTCAACAGGATTTTTGCAACTGCCACCAACCAATGAGATCTCTACATCAGTCTGCCAAAAAAAAAAAAAAAAAAATCAAAACATTTTAACTCACTGTATAGAGACACTGCATTTCAGCGTTTTTTTAAGAGGATGGAGTGACAGGACAAGGTGGAACAGCTTCACACTGACAGAGTAGGTGTGGATTGGAAATGAGAAAGAAATCCTTCCTGCGAGGGTGGGGAGGCCCTGGCACAACTGCACAAGTGGAAGGTGTTCCTGCCATGGCCGGGGTGGAATGGGGTGATCTTCAAGTTCCCTTCCAACCCAAACCAGTCTATGGTTTTACCTCATAGATATAGGGATGTTCAGGGATACCATCCTTTCCTTCTTCACGTATCCTGAAAGAAAAGAGAATGTTGAGATACACCTTTCCCCTCAGCATTCCTCGTTAAACCGCATCATTACCCACATACATTAAACACTCCAAGACTACAACCGGAGCCTCAGCAACCTCCCCACAAGCGGGGCCAGACCTCCCTTAGCAGAGCAGCGGAGACCCCCCCCAGGCAGTGACCCCGAATCCGCAAGAGCCCAGACAGCCCCGGGAACAGCTCCGATCCCCACCGGAGCAGGAGCCCGCTCAGCCCCGGGAGCAGCCCCGACCCTCACCGGAGCAGGAGCCCGCTCAGGCCGCCGCCAGCCTGGTGCCGCCGCTCCGCCGCCATCGCCGCCCGCCACAGTCGAACCTCCCGCCCGCCGGCGCTACGCGATGTCTGTGAGGGGAGGGTGACGCGTCACGCTGGATCCCTCCGCCGGAACAGAGTCCCCTGCTTTGGCTGGGAACTGAGCGGGACAAAGGCGCCCGAAGAGCTCGGGATGGGCGCGGCGGGGCCGAAGGGACTTGGATAGAGACTGGGACCGGGGCTGGAGCTCGGTCCGGAACTTGGACTGGGTGTCGGGGGTTGACCGGCCGGCGCGGCAGGAGCGGCTGTCAGAAGGCGGAGGGACATAGACGTAGTGACGGGAGGGTGACGAGTCCTTCCTTTTCCGGTCGGGGCGCGGCGCAGGCGGGCGGCCGCACGAGCAGCTCCGCCGCCATGGTGAGGGGAGCGCCGGGCCCGGCTCGGGGCAGCGGGGCCCGGGGGGGAGCGGGGAGGGCAGCGGGGGCAGCCCCGGGGAACCGGGCCCAGCGGGCAGGGCCGAGCCACGGGCAGCTCGGGGGCCGTGCTGGCGGCGTGGGGCGCGCGGCCGCCATTTTGGGCCCGTCAGTGCTCGGCGGCCGCGTGGAGCCCGTGAGCGACCGAGCGGGGCCGGGCCGGGGAGGCCGCGGGAGGGAGCTCGGCGTGGTCGGCCCAAAGTTCTCCTTTCCGTGGGCACGAAAAGCGATGGGATAGGTCCCCATCACCGTCTAGCAGCGCCTTGTAGTTTCCTGATGTATTTATCTAAAGCGAAACAGGCCTCACGGGAGTGTTTGCGCCCATGTAGAGTGGGAAGAACGGCTTGTATATATTTCTTTTATTAATCTATTTTTCTTGCAAAACAGGTTTTAAGAGGCCTTGGTCTAGAATCAGGTTCCAAATGAACAATTTTTCTTGCCAATACAGCTCAGATTGTGCTCTGATGCCTTCATCCTGGTCAAGTTTGTTGCTTGTGTTGGGGTCTCTGGGTTAACACCAGGGGCCAGAGCCTTGCTTGTGACCAGTGTCACATGCAGAGATGGCCCTTCCATTGCTATTAGCTGGTTAGTTTGGGGTTCTGGAGTATTTTAATACCTCTAAAATTAACTGCAGATGGGAAGGGGAAGCAAAATGCTTTGCCTGTACAGTTACCACCAGATTAATTAACAACCGATACAATATAATGCTAAAACATTGTTTTTTAAAGGGTGCTGCTCATACTCTGGCTATTTTTGGGCATCCTTTCAGCCTTTTGACAGGCAGCTGGTGCTGAGAGCAGCTTAATGTTTCAGTGCGCAAATTTTAAAGCACCAGGGGTTGTTCAGTGTCCTCTGACACTGTTTGATGAGCTGATTACAGTATTTTTTAATCTAATTACTAATGTTTGGTTAACACAGGTGGGATTTTTAAATAATACATAGCAAGTACTTTTTAAGGGGTTTATTACAGGGCCTAGAGGCTCTGAATTGTATAAATTCCTCGGGGATGCAGGTGTAGTTTTCTGGAGGTGAGCTTTGCAGTACAGTATTGCTGTGATGACGTAATTTGCGTCTTATCCAGTGCCCAGCGACAGTTGCCTGCTGTCAGTGTGCTGGCACTGCCGAGCTGACGACTCCTCGGTTCTGAGCAATATCTGAGGGCTGCCCACACCAGGAATTCACCTGACTTTGTACTTGAGGGCGTTTGTGCTTCCCCAGGCTTGCGCTCGGCCGCTGATCTCCGTGTACTCCGAGAAGGGGGAGGCATCGGGCAAGAACGTGACGCTGCCCGCCGTGTTCAAGGCGCCCATCCGGCCCGACGTGGTCAACTTCGTGCACACCAACCTGCGCAAGAACAACCGGCAGCCCTACGCCGTCAGCGAGCTCGCAGGTACGCCTGGGCACGGCCTCAGCCTCCGCTTGCGTGGGGTTCGGGTTCTGTGCTGCTGTAGGGTGTGCACTGCTTTAGTCTGAGCTTCACATCAGGGCATGGGGAGCTCTGTGCGCAGAGCAGGGACACAAAACAATTCCTGCTCCAGCTGGGCACCAAGGACAGGTGATCCAAACCTCAGGCCCAAGAGCACAAGCAACATGAACTGAAGAGAGAAAAACAAGAAGGATGGGACTGCATGGGCTAAAGCTAGAATTGAACAATTAACTCCAATATGCTAATAGACCAAAACTTATAAACTATGAGACCCCATGACCAGACATCCATTTTTGTGACCATTTTGATTCATCTTGGGTGCAGCCCTGGCTGGGCTCTTGTGCTGCCTGAGGTGGATCCATTGAAGCCTCCTAATAAATAAGCCTCCCTACTTTACTGTTTAACTCCATCTAGCCTCTGTTCTAGGCCAGCCTTCACAAGGCATCAGGGCTGCACTGCATGGGGGCTCACATGGAAATAAAGCTGGAGTTGGGATAAGAGAAATGCTTATCCACGGGGTTCTGTGTAGAAGGCAAGGCCAGTTGTTAACAGTGTGGTTTTAAATGCAGCAGTTTTATTATTCTGAGGAGTGTCAAGGTGGTATTTTGGGGTATTCTGTGGTCTTGCTTGAAGTGCACATTGCTGGAGGTATCACAGTCCTCAGATAAAATCATCATTGCAGGAAAAACATAACGTGGCTGAAAGTGTTCCAGGTGAAATCCCTGCTCTACATTGACCTCATGAGACTTGCTTGAGGCATTCTCCAAGGAAAAACTGCAAATGGACATTTGTTAGGTTTGCTTCTGTTGTTTGTGCAGATAACTTCTGCTTCCCAAGAAGTCTGTGCTAGGAACATGCCTTTTAAACCTTATTTCTAAGTTTCACACAAACATCCTAACTTGCTAGGTATAGCAGTGCCAAGTCAGACCTCCAGATTGAGGATCAAGCTTAAAATCAGTGTCTTAAAGATCAGGTCAGAATCAGGTACATTAATTGACTAGGATTAAGTTTTCCTGATGAAGATTTGTTATGCTGACATGATGAGATTCCACTTCATTGGTCCGTGTTTCTGAAACACATGATTGGGTGGAAGTTCTGATCAGTGCCCTGAGCTCAGCCTCCCTCTGGCTGCAGGAGATGGCAGTGATGTCACCTGAATGACCCTCACAATGTCTCTGTCTCTTGCAGGTCACCAGACCAGTGCTGAATCATGGGGTACTGGCAGAGCTGTTGCTCGAATCCCGCGTGTCCGGGGTGGTGGCACTCACCGCTCTGGCCAGGGTGCCTTTGGCAATGTATCCTTCCATGGCTGTGCTGGCTTTGGGGGCACTGAACTCAACCAGCAGAAAGGTTTCTAATTATCTAAATGTGAGATGGAATCTTTTTCTTGAGATAATGGCTGCAGCTCAGACTTGATCTGATGTGATTCCTGCTCTCAAACCACACGACCCATTCTGTCTTGCCATGATGTCGTAATTTGCGCCTTACCCTGTGCCCAGGGACAGTTGCCTGCTGTCAGAATCCTGGCACAGGTGGTTGACGACCCATTAACGCTGAGCAAGCAATAAAGAGTCACTTTGGGACAAGAAAGCTCTAAAAAGTTGTCCTTAACTGCAGCTCCCAGATGTGTCGCGGCGGCCGCATGTTCGCCCCGACCAAGACCTGGCGGCGTTGGCACCGCAGGGTGAACATCATGCAGAAGCGTTACGCCATCTGCTCTGCTCTGGCTGCCTCTGCCCTGCCAGCTCTGGTCATGTCTAAAGGTGAGAACTCTGCCTCTGCAATTGTTTGGCTGAGCCAGCGTTGGGTACTTGTGGTGGCTTAGATGGAGTCTTGGAGTGCAGTTTGATTTCTGTTCATGGAGGCAAAGATCCACCCAACACTGGGGTACACAAAGTCCTGTGTGAGACCCGTAAGACACCACTGGAACTTCACTGCTCTGGTTACTGTACCTCACTTCATTTCATGAATTTCTATCCTGAATTTAATTTATCATACATCATTTATGAATATACAAAGCAATAACCTTGAGGAATGGGTCCAGCCAAGGTCATTGAGCAGCACTGAGTGTCTTGTGAAATCCTGTCTAGGCCACCGCATTGAGGAGATTCCAGAACTTCCTCTGGTTGTTGAGGACAAGGTTGAGGGCTACAAGAAAACCAAGGAAGCTGTTCTCCTCCTGAAGAAGCTTAAAGCTTGGAATGACATCAAAAAGGTGAGCTGGGAAGGTGTGATCTGAAGGGCAGAACACAGGTGATTCAGCTGTGCAGTTATTAGAGTAGGATTTCAAAGTAGTTCTGTATTTTGACCCTGGAGAATGATGAACATCTCACCGGTCCGTGTTGCAGATCCGCAGTGACGATGGTGAAGTTCTGACCGCGCAGTGTGTTGGGTCTGGCTGCTGGGCTGTGGGCTCTTGGGATGCTCAGTTTCTGCTTTTCCCAGGTTTACGCCTCCCAGCGCATGCGGGCCGGGAAGGGCAAGATGAGGAATCGCCGCCGCATCCAGCGCAGGGGACCCTGCATCATCTACAACGAGGACAACGGCATCATCAGAGCTTTCCGGAACATCCCCGGTAACTAACCTGGGACACACTCACCCTTCTCTGCTGGGACACTGCCTGCAATGATGAGATTCCACTTCATGGTCCGTGTTTCTGAAACACATGATTGGGTGGAAGTTCTGACTGCCTGCAGTGGTTGATCTTTGTAAGAACCTGCTGGGGTGATGTTCAGGGGTTTTGTGACAAATATTGCAGCTGTTCCAGCCCTCAGCTGTGTCTGGGGCAGTTAAAAATGAGGCTGGTTAGGTTGCCACTGGAAAAAGGCTTATTGTAGTTAATTTAAAATTCAGTAGATGTTCATACAGAGGGGTGTGTGTAGCTCTGTAGTGTCAAAGCCAAAAACCCCAGTCTCTTTCTCCATCTTGTCTACTGCTTAGCCTCACATTCCTCAATTCTGATCACAAGCTGAAGGTGTTGCTTTGCCTGCTTTCCTGCAGGAATCACTCTGCTGAACGTGAACAAGCTGAACCTGCTGCGCCTCGCTCCCGGGGGCCACGTGGGGCGTTTCTGCATCTGGACCGAGAGCGCGTTCCGCAAGCTGGACGATCTGTACGGCACCTGGCGCAAGGCAGCCACGCTCAAGAGCGACTACAAGTGAGTCAGCCAGGGGGGCAGGAAGGTTTCCCCTTTCCCAGGAAAAGGGATACTGGGACTTGCTCCTGAATGCCTGGTTGTGGTGAATTAGCCATGGTTGTGTCACCCACTCACAGTCTGAATGTTGATTTCGCAGCCTGCCAATGCACAAGATGACCAATACGGATATTGGAAGAATCATGAGGAGCCAGGAAATCCAGAAGGCCCTGCGTGCTCCAAAGTGAGTGATTTGATTTAAATGAACAAAGGCTGTGCAGGGAGTTTTGAAATTGGTTTCAGACTGGGATTTCCAAATTTCGGGTATAAACACAAGGAATAGCAGTTGTCCAGATTTCAGTGAGAATTTAGCAGAAGTGGCATTGCAGGATATGCTGATGATACAACATGGCTGTGCTTTTCAGGAAGAAGATTCAGCGCAGGGTCCTGAAGAAGAACCCGCTGAAGAACCTGAGAATCATGATCAAGCTGAACCCGTACGCCAAAACCATGCGGCGCAACACCATCCTGCGGCACGCGCAGAACGTGAGTGGGGCTGCCGGGGCTGGGGCTGGGGTGCAGGTGGTGCCCTGACTCATCATCTCTGTGTCTGGTCTGTTCTAGCACAAGCTCAAGGAAGAGAAGAAAGCCAAGGCCCAGGCCAAGCTGGCAGCTGCCAAGGCCCCAGCCGCACCCAAGGCAGAGCCCCCTGCCAAGAAGGCCAAGACAGCCAAGGCCACCAAGGCCGCCAAGCCCGCGGCGAAGGCCGAGGCCAAGGCGAAGGCCGAGGCCAAGGCGTAACCGTGGCCGTGCTGCCCCGGGGTCCCCGCGGGGGCTGTGCCCGCGGGCTGTCCCTAATAAACGTTGTTGGAATACAGAAAGCCGTGTCGGGTGTGCGTGTGCGAGCAGGCGTTCGAACGGACACTTCCGGGGAGAGGAGGCGGAGGAAGGCGGCGTGGCGGGGCCGGGCCCGCGGGTGCAGTGACCGGCGGTGGCCGCGCGGGGGCGCCTGCTGCGCGCTGGTGCGGCGGTGTGACGTCAGGCGGGCGGGCCGTGACGTCAGGGGGCGGGGCGGTGGGCGCCCCGGCGGGGACGATGCTGAGCCGGCTGCAGGAGCTGCGCCGCGAGGAGGAGACGCTGCTGCGGGTCAAGGCGGCGCTGCACGACCAGCTCCGCCGGCTGCGGGTGCGCGGGACAGCCCGGGGCTGCGGGGGGCGGCCTGGGGCCGGGAGCGGCGGGGCCGGGCCTGCACCTCAGCCCTGCGCGGCCGCGCTCCGCCAGGGAACGGGCCGTGCGCCCCGGCGGGGCTGGGGGAGGGAGCGGGGAATTGCTCACAGGTGGTCTGGGAAAGGGGGATCCATCTACTGTGCTCTGAGAGGTAAATGTAACTGTGCAGGGTGCATCTCAAAGAGGTAAATGTAGCTGTGCAGGATGCATCTCAAAGAGGTAAACGTAACTGTGCAGGGTGCATCTCAAAGAGGTAAATGTAATTGCGAGTGTGTCTAGGACATATCTGTAAGAGGTACCTGTAATTGTGAGTGTATGGGTACATTAGGAGATAAATTAAGTGTGAGTGTATGTAGGATATGTCTGTAAGTGGTAAATGTGAGTGTGATGTATGTAGGATACACTGAGATAAATGTGAGTGTGAACAGGATACCTCTCTAAGAGGTAAATGTGAATGTATGTGGAGTACATTAAGAGAGAAACGTGAGTGTGCTTAGGATACCTCTCTAAGAAGTAAATGTGAGTGTATGTAGGGTGCATTAAGAGATAAATGTAATTGTGAGTATGATACATCATAAGAGGTAAATGTGAGTGCAGGGTTTGCCTTAGCTGATGGATGGAGAAGGGATAGTTGGAGGAGTGGAACTGAAGACTACTTGGGTTTAGAGACTCATGCATATCATAATAAAGGAAAGATTCAATTCTTAGAGCAGAATTGCACAAGATTTAACAAAGCTTTAACAGGTACAAAAGCCCAGAGTTCAGAGTGGGAAATGTTAAGCAGGGTCAGGTGGGGGGGTGTGCCCGGGCTATGGTGCCAGTGCCGGGGATGTGGTGCCAGTGCCGGGGTGCGGTGCCAGTGCGGGACGTGGTGCCAGTGCCGGGATGTGGTGCCAGTGCCGGGGTGCGGTGACAGTGCCGGGATGTGGTGCCAGTGCCGGGATGTGGTGCCAGTGCCGGGGATGCAGTGCCAGTGCCGGGGTGCGGTGCCAGTGCCGGGCTATGGTGCCAGTGCCAGGATGTGGTGCCAGTGCCAGGCTATGGTGCCAGTGCCGGGGTGCGGTGCCAGTGCCGGGATGTGGTGCCAGTGCCGGGATGTGGTGCCAGTGCCGGGGATGTGGTGCCAGTGCCGGGATGTGGTGCCAGTGCCGGGGATGTGGTGACAGTGCCGGGATGTGGTGCCAGTGCCGGGGATGTGGTGCCAGTGCCAGGCTATGGTGCCAGTGCCGGGGATGTGGTGCCAGTGCCGGGCTATGGGGCCAGTGCCGGCAGTGCTCAGTGCAGTCCCTGCAGGTGGAGGAGCTGGCGCTGCAGTCCATGATCAGGGCCGGTGAAGAGAACGTGCCCGTGGCCCTGCCAGCCCTGGCCGAGGACACTCAGCAGGTAAGGGGGTCCCTGGGCTCGGAGGGGGCTCCATGGCTGGCTGGCAGCATGAGCAGAGCTCTGCATGGTTCTCCTCCTGTCACCTCATTGATGCTTCCCATCACTGCAAAGCTCAGCTGTAAAATGTCGGTTTTGCTGCTGGTGTTTTGAGGGTTTCACCTTTTCCCATCCCTAGAAGCAGCACGGTGTTTCCAGGGGGATTGGGAAATACCTGTGTGCTGTAGCCTCAGTTCCCCATGTGTTAAATATTCTGTTTAATGCTTGTGACCTTGGGGTGGCACCGGTGCTGGGGATGGAGGCACAAGTGCTGCAGGTTTTCACTCAATACCTGGCCAGCCTGGCCCAGGTGCAGCTTTGCCA